ACGGAGTGATTATGTGAAAAGGCTACTATTCGATCTAGAAAACTGTAATCGTTCGACACAAAACGGTTGCGGATCGGGTTTAAATGATCTTGTAGAGGTAGATAAACAACTTAGACAACAAGTTTCGATAAACGGGAAAGGAAAATATTAAGAAAACGTGAAAGGAGAAGGATGTATGGTTTATAAGTTTGACGCTATAAACAAAACATATTATACTGTTAACAATACTTTAAAGCCTAACCAAGTTATACTGTAGGCACTTTAGGCAGCAAAGACTATCGTTAATACTATGGTTAATATGCATCATGAAAAGGTAATGTGCAGTGGTATGTGAGGAGTATATCGAGTTAGAGAAGCGTAAGACACACTTTATCAGCGATATTTTCAATATGGGGGCCAAAGTAGAGTTGCCGATCCAAAATCTATGGACTACCCAGATATTGTTATATTGAGGCTGAATCACCCCAGCACGGATCTTTAAGATTACTGAAGTTAATGCAAAGAATGTTATCCAACATCCAGGCGTTAAAAAAATTGTTAAAAACTCGTTAATATTGTTCTCGAACAAATACAAATGATTTCCATTATCTCTATGAAGCAAAAAAATATCATTTGCATACGCAATAAAAGCGCGGTTGTTACCCAAACGTCCAAATATGAAGGCTTTCGCTATACATGAGACATAGTCTCAGTTAGGGAAGGGCTAGAGTCATTCATAGCACACAAGCTGCTTACGATCCGAAATATTCAATCACATAAACTTATAACAAGCAAACAGATTGATGGCGAAACATTACACGCTCCAAGCATATGTGACGTAGAGTGTATACATTTCTCATATAATTTATTTTGGATATTAAAATTGAAATGATAAAATCAACTTTTTACTTATTTATTATCGCCGAACGGTATATTGACAATTGTCTTATGCATAATCTTTCGAACAGTAACTGTACATTTTTTATAGCTCTCTATTTTATAATCTAGCTTTTTGCTTATACTACGATTTTTCTTCTCGAAAATTATATGTTTTCTACATTTGAATTATCAACGTGTGTTTGTATACAAAAAAAAAAAAAAGTGAAAAAAAAAAATTTAATTATTTTGTTATACGAACCATTACTGACTGACAGAGGCTATGCTAAATTTTCTAGTTTGTTCGCACTTATCACATGCCACATAATCAAATACTTTTATTTTATCCTTGTACCTTGTTGTTGTAATTACGGAAATTTCACTCGAAGTAGCCAAATGAATTCAAGTGATTCTTCGATATCTATTATCATAGGTGAGCGATTCTTTGTTATTGTAAGCAAGATAAGACATTTTAAGCAGACGTAGCTCCATCATGGAAATCGATATCTGCCATTAACGAAATAGTTATGGAAAAGTTATTTAGGACATGTTACAGGCATCAATATTCACGGACATGATTATATCGAATTGAAATTTTACAGTCAACTCAAAGAGTTTGACGTACGTTTTTGATTATTATAGACGAAATGTGATAGATATTTTAAATAGAGCTTGAACCTTGTGTCCTTAGTGCTTCTAAACTACCTGGGCTCTATAATAAATGCTCTACCGGCAAGCCAGAAAATTAACCGGATATTAATTAGACATTGTTATTGAGAGAAACGGTTTAGTTTTTTTTTTTTTTTTTTTTTTTGTTTTTTTTCTAAGTCAGACCTGATTGATTAATAATTACGTAAATATTTTATTGAATGCTTTGCGTGAAAATTGCTTCATTTAACTTTTTATGCCGGTTATAATTACTTAATAAAATGAATGCTCTATTAGATGATTATAGGGTCGGCCTAATACTATAATTTACTTAATGTTATTTAATTATTATCTTCTTCTATAATACAATTTACATCATATTGGTCTTAAATTTTATATTAAATTCTATTATGAACTATATGGCGGGTATATAGGACTCGGATTATATCAAATACAACTTGGTTATTATTATTATTATTATTATTATTATTATTTTTTTTTTTTTTAACGTGACTTCATACATGGATATGTATGAACATGTCTTTGCCTCTTTTTCAATTTATTTAATTTTTATTTACATTGAATTGAAAAAAACAAAACCTAACGATTTAAACGTGATACGATAACAGATTACTAGCGCAATCATGTTAAAGCCATGATATCGCCATCCTTATTTATGTACTCATCAAATCGCATATATTAGTTTTTTCAAAAGTCTATAACGCATAGAAATACGCATTGGAGAAATACAAATGTATTTTTAAATTTTATTGTTATCTGTCTCGTCACGTCAAGTTCAAAAATCACTTAGATCCAGACTAGTCCAGGACTTTCCATCATTAGTTATAATATGAGATCGTTCGAAGTTCAAAATGCAAAATCAATTCGTTTCGAGTTTTAAATGTCATTTCAAATTTTTCGTTCCAATGTTCGAATAAAATCACCTCGGTTTCAACTGTTATCGAAAGACCATAATTAAGTAAGGCGAAGTATATAAGTCAAGCTCTTATGCGATGCTACCAAATTGTTTAAAAATATAATTTGCATATGCTTCAAATTGCGCGCTTATATCGAATCCCTTCAACGCTTAGGTTTCGCATCACAATAATGCGCCATCTCAGCCTACATTGGTACTTCGAGATCATTTCGTTGAAAATTCAATCCATATAGTTCCTCGATCACCGTATTCATCTGATTTAACCCCATGTGACTTGTGGCTTTTTCCGAAATTCCAAAGATCACTCCGGTGAGAATGTTTTATCTCAATTGAAAGTTTGAAGAGGTGCAAGATGAATGCGCAGTAAGCTTTGAAGACCACCGGAAATCGATTATAAAAATTGTTTCGGGAATTGGGAAAAGCGTTGGCATAACTGTATAGCCTTTGAAAAAGGTTTATTTTGAAGGCGGCCGGAATAGATTTGGAACAATAAATAGATTTTAAAGAGAGAAATTTAAATTGGTCATACTTTTTGAACACAACAGTATACAATGGCGTATAAGGGATATATCGAGTGATTGCATTTTGACTCTATTAAACAATCATATATAATGTATTACAAAATAGTGTAGGTTCAAGTCGAATACAATTTCTCTTTTCCTCGCACGCATCTCATCTTTTATGTGCAATGAAACTAGATTTTCATTCTCTCCTAGATCTTGTCTTATGATTAAGATACAAAGCTTATTGTAGCGTACTAGTTCACACATTAGGATCGTGTTAAAAAGTTTTGATGCATCCAATAATCAAATAAATTATGACCTGAGTTCATGATAATAAAGTATAAATGAGAATAAATAAAAATTATATTCAACCGGGGCCGAATGTATTAAGTTCTACATGACCTTTAATTGCATGATAAAGCGAAATTCTCCGACTAACTTACCTTGTCGTATATCCTACAGCGTACTTTTGAAAAAGTTTGATGTGTAATTTATAACATTTTCATCTGATTCCTTGATAATTGTGTTTAAACATTTGGATTAATTAAGCGATTGATTATTTGAGGCTTTTCTTAAAAAAAAAAATGTAATACTCAACTTAAAACTTCGTCTGATTTTGAAACCTGATCAGGATAATGTGTCCTTTGGGGAACGGCCGTTGTATATGCGGTATGCGACAAACATTTCACAATATTTCTGTAAGGCCCTTGGATCCATTTTGAGTATTTTTTCACTTCAAAAAGTCATTTATTGAGAAAATTTGATGCAATATATATAAAATAAAATATTTTTCATCATTCTGGCAATACCGTGTCGAAAGAACGATCCAATTATCGACCCTTTTTCACACTTCTTCATTCATTTGGAAATCGCTTGTCAGCCAAGCCGTGCTGCATCGATCTGTCCAAGTGGTAATCAGAAGACCCTGTGTCTGTTGAGTATGTTGGGTAAGGCGGAGCTATCCCTTCGAGCTACGAAAGTATATCCTGGACAACTCTTGCAACCGTGGCATTGCGTCTGTTAGCCGCTATTGTTGGTCTGCTTTGCAACAATACATCGTTCAATTTGTTCAATTGGTGTGAGAAGATCTCCGCAGTAATTTGGTTTTAGCAGCGCGTAATACACTACATCTTGTTGATGACTTAAGTATCGATGTGGATGCCTCTCCTAGACTAATCAGTGGCTTTTTGCCTTTGGCATTGTCGGCTTTTTTGCCTGGCAAGCAATGACACCATGACATTGAATCGATGCGAAGTGCCATTTTGAGCCAATTCGTATTGTAACGAATTTGAATCTTTTCTATCGCATGAAAACATCTAGAAGCAGTTCATTGGTTAATTGCTAAGCTGTTCGAAAGATCTTTGAGAATTTGAGCTGGGTTTTCGTCGAGTAAATTGTGCAATTCCTTATCTTCGGACTGTGTTTAATTCCTCAGGCCATTCTCCAGATCACCATCAAAACCGATAATTGGGCTATGATGGAGGGGTATCTTCGTTAGCTTCTAAAAGTGTTTGATGGGCTTCGGCAGCAGATTTTTTCCAATCAATCAAATAGCAAAAGCAATGAATGTTGAAAAGTCAATTTTGATTAGTGTCTATACACACTAGCTATATAGCTCAATAATTCTAAAGGGAAAATTGTTACTTTATACAGAGAAAAGTCAAAATTATCGAATTGAACTATTGTGTACATTATTATACAATGTTGTGCACATTCTTGTTGTTTTCATCAATGTAAATAGTGCTGATTAGAATACATGCACGCAAAAAAGGAAAATGATGGCCGGGTTGGGCTGCGACTTTTTACATGTGCATAACAATATGCTCTGGAAAAGTGATTAACTCTGATTTGTCTATGAAAAAATAATATTAGATATTCTAACACCTGCTGAGATAACAATGATATCGCCATTCAATCTTCAATGTCCATATAAATGAGTATGAATTGAATAAACGAATTGAATGTTTTACATATTTTGATTTTTATTATTTTAAGGCTTCACGATTTTAAATTTTATTTTATTTAATTTTTTTGTAATTTTTTTTTTTTGTTTTTAGTTCGGTTTTGAAAAATGTCTGAAGGAATTGTTGATTAAGGAATATACATATATAAATATAAAACAGTATTGATGTTAAAATGAGAATTTTTAAGACCGTATTCAGTCCTAGTCAAATACAGGCTTTACTACGTAAGGATATTTTAGTAAGATGGCGGCAATTGGTAAGTTTTGCAAATTGTAAAAATAATTTCCTTCAAATTGATCTATGCTTTCATTTACATGCATTTGCAGTGGCTGATATGCATTCAAATTCTATGGCCCTGTGTAATTTTTTTACTTTTATATTTAATGCGTTTGAAATTTGGTTCAAAACATTTCGAAAGCTGTCAATTCCCAACCAGGCAACTGCCCACCACTTATAACACATTGCCCGCCTTTCTAACATATATTTGTAGTTTTGAAAATCGCTGCGGTGACACTAACGACTATGAAGAATATTTGAAATTGAAAAAGGCACCGTAAGTAATTAATTTACGAGTTATATATTTCAATCATTTTAATGAGAATTTCGTTACATTTACAAAACTATTCATTATTAAAGACATTTATTATCATTTAATCATTTAAACAAAAATAAATTAATTGCAGTCATGTGTGTCTGAATTGCTGTTGCTTTTATTTTTGCTAACTAGTTTAAAACCGATTTTTGAAATCGCACAAATTCTAATAAATGATGATCGCATGTTTCAAGCCATCACTGATTTGCCGGAAAAAGCAAATTTTATAAGTGTCGTAACAACGCTTGTTACAAATGCACATTTCGATGAGATCCGAAGTGAGTGAGATATTTATTGTGTATGTAAAAAAGGAAAAAAAAAAACAATCATTAATGTATTATGCGTTACTTATACTTTTATTCTAGATCACATTGAAAGGGTCATTGACTTGGTGCCGGAAGTGGAAAACATATTAAATGGAAGTTTTAATATAAAAAAGCTATTTTCTGGTAGGTAATGTTATTGTTATTTTTATTGTTTGTTTTTGTTTTTTTTTTTTGTTTTTTTACCATATAAAGTAAGTAATAATAATAATTTTTTTTGTTGTTTTCTCCCAAAAAGATCGAAGAAATCTTGTCAAGCTTGGCGATTTGATATGCGGTCACCCATTTCCCGATCTTGAGATCATACCTTTGGTAGAAGACATAATAGAATCTCAGGATTTTAGTAGCATTAACGACGATGAGCTAAAAGCAATGCCAAGTAAGTTGCTTTGCTAACTATGAATATATTTATCTATGCTTGCATTGTTCCCTGGTTAAGGGGAGCGGTGAATAACATCATGGTTTGAATTTTGTTTAAAAAGTTGTATTGAGAATGTAAAATATTTGAGCTTAATGTATGACGTCATTGTATTATAAAAAGAGATTTTATATCAACTCCGTTATTATAAATATTGGCAAATCGAATAATAATATTAACGCCCACATTTTGGAATTGAGATTAATGAACCGATTTTTAGATAGAAGCAACAATGTTTTCAGTTCATTTTACTGTCATTTTACAAATCCTTACCAAAATATATTCCTATATTCTACGTTACTTGGGGTTTGTGCACATATCAATAATAAAATAGGTGCTTGCATGTATTATGATCAGCGACATCTATTTGTCAAAATAGCAAAGTAATGCAAAGTATCGTTCTGTCGACGCCGTAATGCTATGTTACCAGAAAGGTGGCAACAAGTTATGCAATATGTTGTTAAACATTTTCAAGTGACTTTTTCAAGTGAAGAAATGGTCAAAATACATGCAAGAGTGTAGTGCAACAATCACAAAGACTTGGGAGCAAACAAACTCTCAGGATATCCATACATTTGGAATCATTTTCTGAATCGATTTAAAGATACCTCCTATGTGTATGGTGTCCGTTCATGTGGACTTGTATTGAACTTTCAGGTTACAATTTTTGATTTGATGCCCAATGGTTTAGCCTAGGAATGATTATTATTAAAAATTGGACTTGATCGCTTTTATGATCACTCTAGATACAGTTTAAAAAATTAATTATATGAAAACAATTTGCGATTTTTAATATTTCTCGGCAAGAATCAGTGGAAAATACTAATTGGGCATATTAATTAAGTTTGGCATAACTTGGATCAGCTGAAACCATTTTTGAACTTCCTTCCCTACAAAAGCTGAAAAAAAAGTCTAATTTTTAATATTTTATAACGATATTATGTATAAATTCTCTCGACCAAGCTTAGATCGCAAAGGTATATTTTTCGGTGCCTACTCCTTATAAGAATTTTTATGACAAGTAAGATTTTATGTGCCATAGGTGTATAGATATAACTTTCGACATTTTCCGATCAAAATAAGTGAGGAATAGTGTATTATTAAGTAAAGTGCAATAGAGCTTTCAATGGTCGGCCGTATCAGTTAATTGAATATTTTTCCATACCTTGTATTTATTTCACAAGCGAAGCTCGACATTCCCGCACCACATGCATGAACAGTAAATAAGATAATGGAAAAACATGTCCGACTATACGGTAATCTTTGAAGAGATTGATAAGAGGTAGTGAAAGTGTATTGTCTTAATGGCTTGACCCAACGTGATGGACCTTGGCTCCGAATTAATTTTCTCTCTCTCCCTCTCTCTCGCTCTCTCTCTCTTTATCGAGAGAGAACATTGTTAAGGGTGTAAAGATGACTTTAAAAGTGGCCTGTGGGTATCGTTTGATTCAGTTTTTTGCAAAGAAATTCTAGAAGTTCTGCAGTCACAGTCTAATGGTTTCACTAGATTTGATTTAATGAAGCGTATTAAAAATTGTATTCGAAAAATTTGTGGGAATTTGTGATTAAAAAAAGCATTACGAAATCTTTTTTGCTTATTTTCTATTTTAACTTTCTGCGTAGACGGGATGGCGTTTTTGTTTTCGTGCAAGTGAAATCTTTTGTATACATGATGCATATGTCTGCTGTTATATTACAATTGAATAGTCTTCACACAATTGCGGCCTTAACGGCACTTGTCAATAGGGCTTACATTCACTAGCTTGCGGTCACTTCCTCTGTCCTTCCTCATTTTTTTGTGGTCACCGGTACATGCTCTGAGAGATTGAAACAAAAAAAAACCAACCAAAGCTTCGAAGCTTGTTTTATCTACAAATGCGATTTAAAAAGTGTTTCGATTACGATTCTTAAGGGAATCTAAGATGTTTTGGAAAGTGAAAAAAATCGTTTTTCATTTTTTTTTTTTTTTTTTTTGTTCAAAAATATATTTTTTCATTATAGCCGATTATTGTAAGCGTTTATATTTGGATGTGACCAGCAGTAACTATGGTAAAATTACGTGGGAAACTGTTAAGCCAATAATTCATGGCAAAATTTTGTACGGTCCCTTATCCGGGGACACTGAATCGATAATAAAATTCGTAAGTAAATGTAAATTTTAAAATGGAAAAAGTAAAAGTAATGAGCTTTTCATTTTTTTCAGGCGAATAGCACTTTTGTCGAATTGGATCGTTTGAAAATGCTTTCAGTAACATTTGAGCAAATTCTAACTAAATTGCGAACGGATGTTAATTTTCAGAAAGGTTTTGAATCTCTTTTGAATTTGGCCTCGTCCCCCATTGTACGCTCTATTATCGGTGATGATTTCGATATTGATCAACTTAAAAATGCTTTTTCTAGCTTACGTACCGATGCATTTATATATGACGTTGTTACCACTGTTAAGAACATATTAGAATGTTTGTCGGTAGATCGTTTTGTGGGCATAGAAAACGATGTGGAATTAAAACGTAACGCTTTCGATTTAAATAAGGCACGTATGTTTTACGCTGCAATATATTTCAATCAAACAACGGGGGAAAATATTGCCTATAAATTACACATGGATGTTGCACATAGTCAGCCTACCATTGAAAATAAAAATCGTTTTTGGTTCCCGGGACCTGCAGGCGATATGAATTTCGATATGAAATATCATCGTGGTTTCACTCAAATTAAGCATTCTATAGATATGGGTATAATTAAGCACAAAAAGAAGGAACTAAGTGAATTAGGTTTGGTAACGGAGCGACCGAAACCATCTACTACGACAGTGAGTTCGTTTTCAATTCAACTTGACGCTGAAGAAGAAGAAGGCAACGACCATGACGATGACGATGACTGGTTTACTGATGTAACCGAACAAGGCAATTCAAGTGTATACACAACTACACCGTCAACTTTAATATCGAGTCTCGTTAACGGTATTCAAATCAATGCAAATGATACCGAGACCACTAATATTAGGGAATCAAGAGATGGTCAAGAAATTGAATTTACTACCTTTACGAGCACTAATAAATCGCGTCGTAAACGACAAAATCTTCTTGATTTCCTTTTCGGCTCCGGAAATGCTAAGGACGAAAGTATACATTTTGAAGTCGATGATTTGAAATTTTTCACTAAACAATTTCCCTATCCTGCCCATACCGTAGATGAGTAAGTATTTGCGAGATTCAAGAAAAGTATGTATTTTAATTGAAAATAATTTGCTTTCAGTTTTAAGACTGGCGTCTATTTGGCCCAAGCCGTTCAGGCTGGTTTCTTTTTAGGTTTAGTTGCTCAAGTTGCTGCCTGCGTTAGACATATTATTTGGATGAGAGAATCGAAAAATTCGATGGTAAGTGCATCTTGACTGAATTTACTTATTGCAAATTTTTTTTATTGTTTTTCACAAATATTTTTTCTAAACATTCTAAATATTCTTTGAAAAATGAATTTTTATGAGAACAAGTAAAGAAATTACAGTTGGGTGTGACCCATCACCGCGAGCCTAAAAAGAAGGAAAACTAACTTTTCATACTGTCTAATAACGAGCGGGTGCGGCTGTTTTTTTCTATTTTGAGAAAATAAATCTTCAGAATTTATGGCTGCCGTGTCTACAGTTCTTGTTACATGGATTTGTGGGCGTCCAAAGCGTGACCTTATAGGCGCTATCTTCATTTTTGCGGACGGGAGAATGTCCGATTGTCTATCAGTTCGTCTGTGTAATAAAAAAAAAATTTTTGTAAACATTGTCCCTCCCAGCAGCAAAAATGAAGCTATCGACTTGAAATTTGGCAGAAATTCAACTATGAAAATTTCCTGAATTGAAAATGGATCGAACTGGTCGAAGAACACGCCTATAGTACTACTCTGTTCTACAAAAGGAATAAAAAATTGTTGGTTTTGCTGATTGCTCATAAACTATAGCGCATAGATGTACAAAAATCTGATCGCATATTCTATGGTCGATGCTGTAGCATCTGTACAAAAATGGAAAAATTTTGGCCACGTCTGCCCAATATTATAATGTAGTAAAATTTGTTTATTTTTTCAATACCTTTATAATGCGCAGCAACAAGCTTCAAAGTCTCCATAAAGTATATAAACTATTGTCCAATTTCTAATTCGGAATACATTTAAGCATGTCCGTTCGTTCATTTGTCGATCTGTCCGTTTGCCCGATTGTGTTGCTTCGGTTGTAAACATTCTCCTGTTCGCAGAAGCGAAATGCCCTAAGCTTTTTAAAGGACATGCCTACAGTCAGCCTTCTTCAAATAAGTTAAAAATGTTGAAGAATTGCCAAGGTGCAGAAAGAAATATTTTAAGCGGGTAAGAGAATTTGAGCCATGGATTTGATCGATATTTTTTCTTTTCTATTTCTAGATTATGCGTTCAATGGGTCTGAAACCGTGGTCGGAATTGATTTCTTGGTGTATTATTACATTTGCCGAATTGTTCCTTATATTCTTGGGCGTTACAATTATATTATATTCCGGTTCCATATTAATGTATACTTCATGGATATTTGTTATGGTTTATTTATGTATATCAGCCGCCTCTTTAATAGCTTTTTGGTAAGAATACAAAAAAAGAAAAAAAACAAAAAGCATGAAAATTGAATTAATTGTCCATTTTTCAATTTCAGTTTCATGTGTTCAACTTTTTTCAATTCCGCTACAATCGGTGCGGTAGCTACCGCTGTATTATTTTTTATGACTTTTTGTCCTTACATTATTGTATTAATGTTCGACGCGAAGCTGAGTTCTTTGCAAAATTTTCTTATAAACCTATCGTTCACAACGGCATTTGCACACGGCTTCGATCATATTATGCGTTTAGAGATACAAGAGGTGGGCTTAAGTTTTGCGACCGCTTTTCAAGAAGGTCTTCATGGCGATTACGGATATGCATTATTTATGATAGTTTTGGATATGTTCATATATATTGGCATCGCTTATTTATATCAGAGATTTAAAGACGGTAATTGCTCCAATCCAATTAATATCTATTTTATTATACTTTGATATTTAAAACTCTTATTCATACACACATAGACGAATGTCGATTTGTGGAGGTTCAGCGTGAAGACTTGGATCCGGCGGTGGGTGCGACCTTAACAAACGTTTCGAAAATATATCAAGATAATAAAATAGCCGTGAGCAATATATCTTTATCGTTTCCCAGAAATCAAGTAACATGTTTATTGGGTCGTAATGGTGCCGGTAAGAGTACGATAATGTAAGTGGAACATTTTCACTTGTACACAACATTTACTTATTAATTAGTTAACGGTATTTGTATTTTTTAAAGTAAAATGTTAACCGGTCAGATTGTACAGAATACTGGGCGTGTAATTTTATCGCAAACTATGTCAAAAAACGATGATTACGATAAGGTGGGCGTTTGCTCTCAAGATAACATCTTAATACCGAATTTAACCAGCCGCGAACATTTAGAAATGTATGCCAAAATTAAATTGCAAGATCGATACGCAGGAGAAGTTGAAAAAACTTTGAAAAGCTTACATTTCGGCCAATATGAAAACTACCAAGCCTGTCAACTCTCAGGCGGTTTTCAGCGACGATTATGCGTGGCTATAGCATTCTTAGGTAAATATGTACAAGAAGATATGATACTTAATATGTATACACTTTTCTAATTCCGATTTGCATTTAGGTTCACCAAATGTGGTGATATTAGATGAGCCCTGTAACGGTGTTGATGCTAAAGCTCGTAAAGATATTTGGGATTTAATCGAACGTTTACGTCAAGGTAGAGCCGTTATATTTGCTACCCATTTTCTGGACGAAGCCGAACATTTGAGTGATAATATAATAATAATGAAAAATGTAAGAAATAATTTTTTCCTAAATAATTTTTCTAAGAAACTATTACCCAGGAAAACATTGTAAACGTACAATTTCCATAAACGACGTCTTGAAATCTTATAGGCGATGTGTTAAGTTTACATTTTTAAAATGTTCACTGTTCTTAATTAATTTGAATAGTATTTTCTTTTCGTAGTAGCTCTCCGTTCATCCTAGAATAAGTTATAAAGCAATTCATTCTAAATCTATTAATTCCTATTAACGACATATGGACAAGTTCAGATTAAAAAGACGAGTAAGTTTGTCTAATATCTCATACATTTTACATAGTTTTCGTGTTAGTGTGGGAGGTTAGCATATTTTATTATGAAAAAAATTTGATATCATACTTAAAATTATGAATTGAAAGTTTTTTCAGGCTCTAAAAATTAAAAAAAACAAGTAAGAAAATTATATTCGATTATGACCGAATCTAATCTCTTATATCCGTCGCAGTGATCTTAAAAGAAAGGAAAAGGACTAAGTTTACATGCTGTATAATATTCGGGGGGGCGTAGGTGATTTTTTTCCTATTTCTAGAATAAAAGTGCAGCTTTATGTGGTGTATATGTTATACTATATGGGCGTGTTGTAAGCGTGTTTTGTTAAAAGCTTGGGTCCTTTTCAAATTCTTTTGCAAGTTTGTAGACGATATGCTAATTTTTGCGAACGGAAGAATATTCACAACACATACTACATGGTTGCGCAGATGGACAGATGGACAGATGAATTAGCCAATAATGTATATACTTTATGAGGGTTTTGAAGCGCTTTGTAAAGGTACGGAAAAGAATTTTCGTTCTAATATATTAACGTATATTGGGTAGGCGTAGTCAATTTTTTCCATTTTTGTACAGGTACTACAGCATCTTCTATAGAATATGGTCAGATTTTTGTACATTTACCTGTCATAGCTTATGCGCAATGAACAAAAAACCAGAGGTGTTTTCACTTTATCTAATACTGTAAGCATGCCCTTCGACCGATTTTGCCCGTTTTCAATATCAAAGTGCGTGCAAGAACTTTCACTGTTTTTACGAATCTGAAGTCTATAGTTTCAGGACAATGTTTACAATGGACATTACAGCGACGGACAGACGGAATGACGGACATGGTTATATCGATCCAAAATTTGATACTGATCAAGAATATATATTAATATATATATATATATATATACATATTGCATGCGTGCGTGCATGTGTATGTGTGTGTACGTATGTGTGTAGTGTGTCTGATGCTTCCTTGTGGGCGTCGCATACGTTTTCACAAAATGAATATAACCCTCCTCATTCGGTGATCGATGTAAAGATGGGAAAGCATCATTTTTGTGGTAATTGTAGGTGGGGACCAAAATATTAATTTTCACACAAACCGAAAAGATGTAAATGCAGAAAACAGTGAACTTGGAAATACGCTCGAGGCAGTTATATCGATTTCGGTAATTACGCTGATCAAACAGAAATATGTTTTAAGGATTCTTTTATGCGTATTCCCTTCTCGTGGATATCAAAACGCAAGCAAGTGATTCCTTTCCACTTATTAAAATTAATATCATTCCAGTTATCCTAAGCAGATTTGGTTTATAAAATTTATGCGCAATTCGAAATACTCTCTTATCCGCACACCAAAGATTGCTTGTGAATATCTTGAATCGTTTTTTTCGCTGTTGTTGGTTTTGTCTTTCGCTATCTTCTTATATATTAAAATGGTATTTTCTCTTTGGCAGGGCAAGGTTATAGCTAAGCACAATCCGGAAACGCTAAAAAATCACTGCAGCTCCTATTACGAAATATCTCTCGAATGCTGTGATAATCATACGTATGAAGATATTCTCTCTAATGCCGATAAAGTGTTAAATGATTGCCGTCGATTAGATAAGCAGCATGAAACTGATCTGAGGTTACGGGTACCTTATGATCAGCAATTGCATAAATCCGCCGAGTTTTTAAAATATTTGTATGGCCTACAAATTAAAGGTAAAATACAAGGATTAGGTGTTGAAACTGAAAACTTGGAGCAACTTTTTAAAAATTTGGATAAAAATTCGAACGGTATGGTGAATCAAAACGGTTATACTGATGGAGATCGCATGAAAACGGTTCAATTGAAAAAAGAATTCGATACCGAATTAGTACGTGACGCGCCATTGACACGGGTCGAAGCAATGCGTGAACTTTTCTGGAAACGTTTAATACATTTTAGTCGTAATTATCGCATGATCTTAAGTGTACTAATATTACCGGCTGTTTTTGAAATCTGCGCCATGTGGTTTATTACACAACGCTTGGAAGATGATTACGATAAGTCGTTGAAGTTAACCCGAGATCTTTATCCAAAAAGTACTCAAATGTTAAGTATGGAAATTCCAAATGATTTCACACAACTCGCTTATGCTAGCTTTAAGGAGGAATGTGAAACGGATATGCCTTGCCAAGAATTTTCCAACACTAAAGACGCATTCTATTGGATCTTGCGTACACTACCAGAATATCGAGAAAAACGGTATGGCGGTTATAGTTTTAATGAATCAAAAGCAATGGTTTGGTACAATAACAAAGGATATCATGCAGTGGTAGCTTGGTTAAACGATTTGAATAGTCAATTATTGCAAGTATCAGTAAACGATAGCAATTATAGGATAACAACTTACAATGAACCCTGGAAATTGAATGCAGCAGAATTGAGCACCACTTCCATGTAATTAACGAAACTTTTTTTCCTTTAACTTATTTATTAAATTGAATTTTCTTTTGTAGCTTAAGAAATGCCGGAGATGCATTTATGGCTTTCATTTTGCTAGTGGCTTTCTCTTTAGTCGTAGCGGTAGCGTCTGTCTATTTGGTCAATGAAAGAGTTAACGGTGAAAAATTGCAACAAAAATTGTGCGGTGTCGACGCTATCACCTATTGGAGTGTAGCTTTCGTATGGGACTTTTTGGTAATTTCCTTTTCCTTCTATTCTTTTTTCGCTATTCCGTAGTATGACATAGTGAGTAACCGTTTTTTTTTTTTTTTATAATGCGTACATATGATGTCTGGAATCGGGTAAATTGAGACCGTTAAATAGAAAGATATTTGTCAACGGTAAATCAGAACAAGTAAGAAAATTATATTTGATCCTGGCCGAATCTTTTGTACGCATCTTCGTTACCCAAAAACGGACAGAAAAAGTGAAAAAAAATTAAATTACCACGCTCTATATTTAGTATGGAGTGGGCGAGACAGTTCTTTTCTATTTTCGAAACGAAAGCTTTGGTTGCGCATAAGCGCATAAGTAAATAAAATTAAAAATTTTAGATCCCTTCTAAATTCTTCTACACGTTTTGTAGGCCATATCATCATTTTTGCGAACGGGGGAATCTTTACCACAGGCACTACACAATTGGACAGATCGATAGACGGAAATGTTTAAATGGATTCAGAATTTGATACTGATCAAGAATATGTATGCTTTGCGGGGCCTCCGAAACTTACTTCTGGGTGTTAATGTTTCATATATTCGGGAATTTATTACATGAAACTTGTAAAACTCACGTTTGGTTTGTAGAAACACAGCCCGTAATAAGTAGAACTATTACAGCCGGGTAAGAGCGTCGATTAATTCGGTTTGCCCCGTCTGTGTGTTACATACACTTCGTACGATGAGGGGTGTAAAGTATAGAAGTGTAGACGGGTATAACATAAGTAAGATGTTGTCGAAAATTCAAATTTGCTATAAATGCCTCGTGTTCGCTAAAAATGTTCCTGTCCGACGTGTCAGCATGCAAAAATTTGCAATCAAAAATAATCGCTGACTTTATTAAGGTTCAGACAGAGAACTTCCTATACTGACATCTTGATCTTTTGCACTTGGCGCGGCGAACAATCTATTACTTATTCGCTGAAATCTCAGAAGACGGGGAAAACGTTGTTCACGACATCACAAGTTATTACAGGCTATTGTTATAAGACACTGTATGCAAAAACAAAACCACACCAATCAAATATTCTGCATGCCAGGGGATTAATATGTTCGTTCTTTTAAAACGGTTTTTTAACAGATTATTTTACTGGCCATTATTATTTGCTCTATTATTATGCTGCTCTTCGGCATGCCCGTTTTTACCGATCGCCAACAGTTGTGGGCAGTTATAGTCCTAGCTGTATTCTTTGGGTGAGTAAATTTTATATAAGCCAGGCGATTACATATTTTCTGGCTAATGTTCCGGCCATACATTCTCTTTTCAAATTTTTACGCTTTACTTTTCTCTTAATCATATCGATTTGAATAGATTTGCCTGCATACCGGCAGTTCATGTCTTTGAGAAATGTTTCATGGATTCGAGTGTTGCAATTGTCACCATCTTTGTCATGAATGTTTCGATACCGCTTTTCACCATGACTATTGTCATCGTTCTGGGCGTGGTCGGCGATTCTCCTATTTGGGATAGTTGGCGTTATTTCCTGAATCGCGCTTTCCTTATCTTTCCCCAACATGCGCTAGGCGATGGTTTGCAGGAAATTTGCAAAAACTTTTTTGTTTCATTAATGTTCCAGCGTTACGATATCGACTCCTATAAAAATCCGATAGGTGGTGACCTTTTAGGTCCTCACTTGATATCTCTGACGGTGTTGGGCATATTTTTCTTAATACTAAATGTTCTATTGGAAAGCGGTCTGTTTTATCGCTGGCATGGAAAACTTTGCGAACATTTCGACTGGGTAGATGGCAAGGAGCGGCGCCATTTCGAAGAATTGAAAATTGTTTCGATACAAAATTCCCTTAAACGCAATGATCAAAATGAACAAATTTCCGCTTTGAAAGCGGAAAATCTGTGCAAATCGTATGGTAAAGGACAAAACGCGATATCGAATATAACATTTTCGGTAAAGGCTGGTGAGTGTTTCGGGTTGCTTGGTAAAAATGGTGCTGGAAAATCTACCATATTCAAAATACTCTCAGGCCAACTGCAACCAAATGTGGGCCACGTAGAGTATTACCATGTAAGAGCTTTGCGTTTCTTAAAAAGCTTTCAAAGTCATTTGATAAATTTTCTGTTCTCACATAGCCCGAAATATCTTATTGTCCACAAACCAACACTCTAGATTCATTATTAACTGTACGTGAATGTATTGAATTTTATGGTCGTTTAAGACGCATTACTAATATATCTCAGGTACGTACACCATTTACATGTATATAGAAAATATTGAAAGTCATACATTTCAAAACGTTCAAATTTTAATACAAAGATAAATTCTTTAATTTTTTTACAATATTTTACGGTATATACGGCAGCTTATTCTTGTTGTGGTGGTATGGAGGTTTATCGTTGCGGTTGGGACGATTGTGATTCCTGTTCTTGAGGTTGCTCCTTCAGTTGTTTAGGTTCATATTCATTTATCATAATTTCCATGCGTATGTCTTCAGTATGACCTCTCGATAGTATTTCAATTTCACCTCGACCCAGCCTTATACAATTGGCATCAGTCGACCAAAATACACTGGGATTTTGCGAATCGCTTAAATTTCGGACTCGCATTATAGAACTTCTAGCCGACGTCATTAACTTATCATATACAGTTACAGTACAGTATATTGCTTTCGTCGTTTGAACGCTCGCCAACCAGATGACGATCATTTCTTGAAAAACATTTTTACGATTTATGAGTTCCTCTTCGAGTTCTTTGTTACACAAGGTGGCCATCCATGAGGTACGACACCCCATTATTAATATAGCAAGATGGGCATCATAATTTTCCTGAGGTTTTGGCAAAAAAGAATTATGCATGCAAAGACCGCGCTCAGCGGGACAATCGCATCTAAAACAATGAATAAGATTTTTATAAATTTTTACAGTGTAGACCACAAGCACTTCACTCAAACCAGTAATGTTGAGTAAGCAGCACTTTTCACGGAAAGAAAGAAATTGCCTTCGGGTTGAAATTCAATTATTTTACATCAACCGCTTGCTGGTTCTTTGTTTTCAACAAATGCTATCAAGTGTCCTTATTATAACGCCCTGTTCTACAACTACACCTTACCTTCTAAGATAATCTATCATACGTAAGAATAAAATATTCAACGGATAACATATCTCACAAAACGAAAAGACACAGTATCCGCATCATGTTGTATGGGATGATAACATGAACGAGTCGATATCTAGTTTTAAAATTTTAGTGGGCGAACCGCTAGTACTGCCAATATTAATCAAGAATATGTGTACTGCACAAAATCATCTACGCGTTATAAATATATGCAATCCCTAACATATATCTACTCATTGCGAGTACAAGAAATTAGAAGGTTGTAGAAACACAAAAAACCGAATACGAACTCGAAGTGATCTCAAAAATAAACCAAATTTTAAAACAAAGTTTTTCGTTATCATCCAACTCTTGGCCTAAACATCTAACGGGTTCGCCCATAATTAACTAAAAGCGCTGGTTTCCTGCGTTTTATATTCGGACTTAAAATTTGCACCAACTTAGAGATTCCCTGTGGTTAGCACAAAGAGCTAGACCGTCATAAAGTGTTCGCTTTCAATACGATAAGAGTTACTCGAGCGTTCCTACTTTTATATTCCAATACAAAGTACGACTTTAAAATTTAAAATTTAAGGATTATCCATTTTTGTTTTTTTCTTACCTTTCGTCACCACTACCGCCGTAAGCTAAAACACCCAAACACATATTTTCACGAAATTCCAAATTTCCCGGTTTGAAGATTAAAATCGTACGTTTACCAGATAATATTTCTTGACATTGTACGCCAAAGTCGTCACTATGATCTCTCAAATAATGCGATAACACGAACGTAATACCTATAGTACGATTACAAGCAGTAATAGGACATTGGACAGGGGTACGCGTTAAAGCCCACAGTTGATGATGACATCTGTTTGGCGTTGGTTGATTGCGAGTAATTTTACCACTGCCGATTGCATCAGGCATTTGTTCAGATAGCAAATGATCCCAGTTTCCCATGCTCAATTGACGACGAAATCGAGCTATATCCTGAGTGCTGAGCTGTTCGAATTCGTCTCTATTAATAACGCGATTTAAGCTGAAATTTGTAAAAGTTGAATTGAACTTGAGTAAGTCCTCTTTGCGTTTCTCAATGAATTCTTCCTCTTCGCGAATTTGTTTGAATTTTTGAAAATTGTTGAAATGATCATACATGGTTGGCTGATTGTAAATCGGTCTAGTCGGTCCTGTGCCCAAACATTTAGGCTGTAAACGATCACAATCTTTGCAATTGTTCGCCATGTCTTTGCAATATTTTTGTTTTTCTCTTCTATTCCTTGTGTTTTGAAATGTTTCGGCTTACAAAATGAACAACAACAAAAGCTGCTATAGTTACCTATTCTGTATGTTCAGATTGACGGTCACGCGGTGAATTTGCATTTGTGTTACGCGCAGCGATATGAGCAGATAGAAAATTTTTTTTTTTTTTAAATCAAGGAATTTAAAATAAATTAGAAAATAAGAAAATATTTAAAAAATTTTTTATGACAATATATTTATATTTTTTATTTATATCTTTGGTGTATGCTTCAAAAAAAAAAAAAAAAAAAAAACAAAACAAACAAACGAAAAACTGGTTTGAACAGCTGGTCACTAGCATACTTGGGTCTTTTCAATTGGAATCTTATCGTGATGTGTTCGTCAAAAATTTAAGTGGTGGTAATCGACGCAAGTTGACAGTAGGTACGACTTGCTGTGGCCGCACTTCTGTTGTGTTAATGGATGAGCCAACCAGTGACATGGACCCAATGACCAGAGCAATAGTCTATCGTAGCATTGACGATTTGTTAAACGAAAATCGAGCTATTGTTTTAACATCGCATTCGATATCGGAAATCGATAAAATTTGCCATCGTATAGCTGTTTTAAAGAAAGGCCGCATGTTAACATGCGGAAGTTTAGATCATTTGAAGATTACATATGGCGGCTACTATAATGTAACATTATATGGGGGAACAAATGAAATTTTAAATTTGGAGAAGGTATGTTACAAAAACCTTTAACTAGCTTCTTAGAGTTAATGTCGTACATTTTTTGTTTTTGATTTCAGAAAGTACGCAATAAATTCCCTAATGCCGAAGATATTCAATGTTATGTACACTCTCTTAGGTTTACGATAAGAGTTAGAGAAAACGCAGGCGTTGAAGAAGCGAAAGTTAAGGAGGTAAGATTAACTTTTTAATTGATTAGGTAGGGATTTGAGGCATATGAGATGAGAATAATGGATACTTATTTACTCTTTTAAAGGAATATATGACACGATTCGTATACTACGATTTGTTGAGTGTGGGCGCATCAATTCATCATTTTAGACTAGAGTAGATACATCGACAGACATTAGTCAGCGATATATTGAAATTGTCCTTTGAAACTAGTACTGTATGCTTTACAATGTTAAGAATTTCATACTTATATCCGCACATTATGAACCGAATGTTAGAATATACAAAGTATATGCCCAACAGGCATAGTATTAGTGGGTATACAGGTAGTCCTAAATTTCGATAAATTCTAGGTCTAGTCTATACAGGCGGCTCTGACAAACATTTTCTTCAAATTTGTCAAACCATATACGCTACGGCTTGTAAGTTATGATTTATATTCTGGAACTTTGCAATTGCTTATGGATGGGTACAGTGTGTATGTATTTTTAAATTTTGAACAAATAAACCATTGGATGGGTGGACTTTCTTCTTAAAGCCGTTTCGATCAAAGTTTCTTGTGCGTGTTACTGTATGTTTTGAAAATTCTGCGTTTCTCAAGATGTTTTTAGCGAGCGACAAGTAGCGCACCTGTTCTGAACATGGAAATTGCTTTGTCAAAAATTTAATTTGCTTACAATAGTTGAACATATTTATATAAGATATTTGGACAAGCATCAGCATCGAGCAGTGACATCATCAACGATTATTTTTGCATTGGCAACTCAACTGCCCTTAAATGACACCAAGCCTTAATGTCTCCTCTTAGGAGTTTATCAACAAGACTAATGGGGTTGTAATGTGCTCGTCTTCTTGCAGATATGCACAGTAGTCAATTTGGAATGCCGCGTTCTTCTTAACATACTATTTTCGTCTATTTTCATTAAGTAGGGGCCATCCGAACGTGTCCACTATATATGATCGTGATAATTAATGACAGCCGATAGTGCTAGAGATTTTATGTAGATATGTAATATATATTTTTGATTTAATGTTTTTTGCAGCATAGTGTTGATGTAACTGATGATGGGCCAATAGTACCTGAAATTTCGTGCAAATCTAATGCACATCTCAGATTAGATGAGCTTTTTAACGAGCTGAGTGCGTTGAGAGAAGAATTTTCCGATTCTTTGCGGTATGCGGTTAACAAATGTAAGCTGGATGCAATTTTCGAAAGAATATTGAGTAAAAGCAATGACGACCCGTGCTATGCGATAAAATCGGCAGCCTTTGACGGCACGCCGTCCACTGGTTATATACACAATGGTTATATAGAAACCGAAACCGTAACGTAAGAATATCAATATAATATTAGGCCAAAAATAGTAAGAAGAGAATGATACGAGTTTAAGAACAGAATAATTATATGTTAAATTACTTACGCGTGAGTCATAGGCAAATCGGTGCTCATGTCACACCGCATAGTTTGCTGATTGAGAAAGTCTTGTAACAGTTCAATTACGTGCAATCTCTTGCAAAGCAAAGCGTGATGATTCTTAAACGAAAAGAATAGGCTGTGATTTTGTCATGAAACTCTATCAAAGCTAAAATATATTGTTACAGACTTTAAAAACTATTACAAATTTAAATTTAATTATTCTATCTATTAGTTAAGTCTTCCTTATGTTGTGTAAATTTCTTTTTTGTTTTTGGGGAGTTTGTGTAATAAGGTAATTTTTAAAAAAGTTATGTTAAAGGAAATGAGCTGAGCTCAGAACTATAGCTTTAATTAAATTGTTAAGTATTAAGAAAGAATTTTTCCGTTTATTTTTTCTCTATGGGAATTTGCTCTAATGTGTATGGGAATAAAATAATATATACTACTCTGTATGATTTGCATAATTTAATCAAATGAATCATAATTAATTAAATAAATTAATAACCAAACAAAGTGTTATTTTAACGAAATACTTGGAACTAAATTTCATTAATATCATCACTCGTGTAACGTTATCAATCCTATACCTTAATTGTTGCCTAATTTTCTGGAACATTTGGTTTGTAACGACTGGCCACCGAGGCGAATAGCGAGCGCCACATCAGAAAAACTCATGTCACTGAAAGTCAAATAGATCCATTTACTTACTCTACTACAACAACAATAATATTACCAAATGCTATGGTTAGTGACCACCAAGCTATCAAAGCAGACTTGAGGCTTTTCGGTGCTTGAATTTTAATTTTTCTCTATGCACTCCGCTTTTATTGATCAATATTTCATATTTACCAGCATGTAACTCAACGAACTTTCGATCACTAATTTTGCCTTAATATTCGTCGTTTGCAAGTTTCGCTTAGACCGTTTCTGTACTTGATCCTCATGCATGTACAACATCTGATCGGCAATTTGTGGTTGTAAAAGTCTAGTATAAGCTTTAGCTTCCTTGAACTCATAATCTTTAGGTGGTATTTCGCGACAACCTTAAAACCAAAACAAAAAAAAAAAAAAAAAAAATACTAAAAAAAATAAGTTAAAAGAAAAAATAGTGTGAATAGGAAATTATCGTTCGTTTCGGTTGTAATACGAACACGATGGCTTAGAGTGCCATAGGCGGATTTGACAAATTTATTCTTTTAGTAATCAACGTCTTGCATATGCATATTAGAAAGTTCGGAGATATTCGTTTTTATGGTATAATCGCAATCGGGTTCACCACTTATAAAAGGCAATTGAATGAAACCAGTTTGAGGTTGGAGCGCATATGTTTTCTAGAAATTTTCAGAAGGCAAAAAAAAAAAAATTGAATCGAAAAATGTTTTAATAAAATTGTTGGCACCACCAGCTCTCTTAGCGAACTTTCTATGCCTATGACTATTGAAGTGTGTTACAGATGGTAGCCTTAGTCGTTTCTATCTGCCCGCTTCTCCGACTGTTGTTAACAATTTAAGATCAAAAAAATCAAGATGGCCAACATGTCAGTTTGTCTTCACCAATTGTCGGTGGCTTGTAAGGGATAACGTTCTGGAATTCAATTTGAAGATATGCTGAATTCATTTATTAATTCAGGCTGAAAATGTCGACGATCTATTCATTCATACCCGTATGGCTAATAAGAACTTCACTGAAGTATTTAACTTCTAAATTATTAAAGCTTTTCTGGTTTTTTTAACTGCGCAAGTCATTCGTAGTTTTAATAATGGTTAACTTTCACTTTCAGCAAATATAGAGTAAAAGAAACATAACTTGGAAATATTTAATTAATTTTAATTTTTTTTTTTTTTTTTTTTCAAGTGACCTTATTTGATATCACTTTTCGAAGGAATCAAGCTCTCTGCATTAATGTTTGTATGTCCATGTTATCATTTGCTCGATTTGATATAATTTTTAACAAATTTGTAAATATAAATATAAATATATATAAAGTAGATATTTAATATTTAACATCAAATCATTAAATTAATTTGATTTTAAAATAAATGGCTTATTTTTAATAAATAGAAAAATGTTTATTTTTATTTTTACTGCTTTACCTATATCGACATTTTTTATTCATTCATAATAACTTTGGGTTTGATTTATATAAAATAATGAAATTATGTAAGTGATCTGTACCATATATGGGATTCTCTTTCGAATGATTTTTGCTAGTGCCGCTAAAATGGAATCACAAATATCATACAAATGTATTTTTATTTATTTTTGTTCAGTGTCCAATTTATTATCGAAATCGTCATCAGATTTTGATTTTTTTGAAATTTCTTCTTCACTTTCATTTGAGTGAGCGATAGCCAAGGGATTGTTAGGCTTATAATAATAAGCTACGATCATAAATAACAACATGTCCACGAACATGAGACCGGCAAATAAGAAGAACTCGCTGGCTTGGGAATCAAATAGAGCGAGTTCAGCTACAATTACTACAATAACATTGCCAATAGCAACGGTTAAAAGCCAACAGGCCTGCAATACTGATTTCATATTAACGGGAGCTTGAGCGTAGGAAAATTCAATGCCGGTAACGGAAAACATGACTTCACCTAAAGTCATGACAACGATTTGTGGTACTAGCCATAAAATGTGCACCGAATTAGGTTCAGTGATTTCAATCAAATTGCTTGAATATGCTTCGTCGGCATGCTCATTGATTATCACTGTGTACACTCCGCCCATACGTAAAGAAACTTCGTGGGCTTTCTTATCATTTATCAATATATCAAAGTTACCGACTTCTATTTCAGTTATATTAAGATCATAGGCCATTTCGTCATATACTAAACTATTATCCTTTTTGTTAATCCATTTTATTGTTTTACCTTCTTCAACATTACTTAAACATCTAACTAGAGGACTGTCTCGTGTTGGCTTCGCCACATGATCCTCATACCAAATTAATTTATCCTCTAAGTGTTTCGAACTCATAAATAAACTGTGTGCCGTCGCATCTTGCATCTTGAAGGAGCCATTTCCGAATGGAGGACAATGATCACCATCTATGGGATTAATGGTATATTCAAAGTTGAATCCGGAATTACTGATGGGTACATATTTGTTTTCATAATAGCCAAGAGGAAGAATATTTAGTAGCTTCGAATCAGGTGCATTAGTAGTGATAGTATAGGTACAATTTTCACCATTAAATATACGCAATTGTGCATAATTAGCTTCAGGTAATATGGGATAGGTTTTCTAGAAAAATATTTATGAGAATGATTTAGATAATGAAAAGGATGGAGTAAGAAAAAAGAAAGAGAAAGATAAAAGTAGATTTAAAATATCTATTATTTTTAGTGCTTCATATGTTGTATAGTTAATGGAATGGATACTGGATGATGATAGTTAGTTAGTTGTTTAGGTTTTTTTTTTTTTATTTTTTTTCTTGAATTCCAATGCCAATTTAATATAATTTTTAAAGGTTCATTTGTAATCGTTTAGTTGAACGAGAAATTGTTTACATAATTTTAATGTTTTATTTACCTCTAACTGTAGTTCTACGACACCGGATATTATAAATGCAACACCGGCCAAAATGCCACCCAAAGTTAATTTTTGCAATGGTCGACGTATACCAATCAAACTCAAGGCCGGATAAAATGCCACATCATATAAAGGTATTAAAACTAAGATTAAGAAAGGATTTAACATCTGCATTTGATCTGGCTTGATGTCCCAAGAACCCATATCGCCATCCATACGTGTAGCTTGAAAAGTCCAACGGGAGCCTTGTTGATCGAATAAAGCCCAAAAAACTGGCAATGGTATGTACAAGAACAATACTCGCATTAACACTTTGACGTCTTCAATTAATTGTTTATCATATTTCGCATCGGCATAGTCTAGCCAGTGTTCGCGTGGATTAGTCTTCTTTTCCCGACACCTTGTCGATATGGCATTCTAAGTAAAAGCAATTATTTAAAGACATGATTATGAAATTATGATGATGATGATATGTTATGTTCATTAAGAAACTTACACCAATAGTTTTGCTAACTAGAACAAGCATATTGCCGGCAGGCGGTTTAATTTTGTATAGGGGATAGCCCAACACGAAAATTACTACAAATTTATGAAATTTCAATATAATGAAGCTTGTGCATTGCGTATTCTATTACTGTTCGTTTACCTATTGCAGTCACCATTAATACGGCTGGCAAGCCAAACGCCAATGGATAGCACTCTTGTTCTTTGAAGCAATGAACGTCTGCACGAAGAATTGGAGTAGTGGTTGTTGATATCAGTGATCCCAAATTGATGGAAAAATAAAACATCGAGAAAAATGTACTGATCTGTTTAACCTGTTCGGGCAATTTAAATTGATCTCCACCAAAGGCTGACACGCACGGCTTTATACCACCGGACCCTAAAGCTATTAAAGCCAATGCAATCATTGTAAAAGCTCTTGAGGGTAAATTTAGTGGCGGTATTGCACCCAACGTAAGCGTCACTGTCCCAAAAACATACAGTATCGAAAGGTATAAAATTGTTTTAAATTTCCCAAGCCAACTGTCGGAAAGTACAGCGCCAAATATGCATAAGAAATACAAAAACATTGTAAAGATATGAAAGATGATTGTAGCCGCATCGTCCGAATAATCCAATTGACGACTCAAATAAAGCACCAAAACAGCTGAAAATTGAAGAAACCGTTATTATTAATAGATAACACATAAATCCGTAGGACTTACTTCTCATGCCATAGAAAGTGAAACGCTCACAGAATTCGGTCACGATAATCAAGAAAACAGATTTTGGATAAGGAATTTTCTAGAATATTAAAGTGAAACTTAACGTAACTTTTATAAATACGCTTTGCTGAGTGTTCGTCGGGAAGTCTTACTTCTTTTGACCTAATTTCAACATGTTATTCGTATATGAAAGATATCGCATTAAATGACATTTACGAAAGCATCAGTTTTTCGGACCAATCACACACGGAGTGTCCTTTATTCATGTAATCGAGAGACGGGCAGAAAGAAGAATAAGAATAAAGAAAGGGAGAGAGATAGAAAGAGACCGGAATAAAGTCCGGCCAGTGTTCCACCTACGCTTACTGACGGGGCGCTCACTTATAGTTATGACGAAGTACACGACGTGTAACCATCGCCTTGGTAATCGCAAATCTTATCTATTCGTCTAGGCGTTCATTCATGAAATAGTTTGAGAAAATTTGATAAACCAACGTGTTTTACCCCAGGGATGAGTCGTACTGAAAATGAAGTAAATCGGACCCACCTCTTACACAGCCGTTCTATGAAAAAGTTGTTATATGAAGAAAATTGTATTATTCAAAATTTCTTGACAAAAATTGCTGTATAGCAATATTTCGGTACACTAAACTGGCATGAAAAAAATGGAACGAATGAGTCGTTCGCTGTTTTGATCCCCCTGTTCCTTAATAAATATTCCTAAGAAAAGTTATTATAATTAACAAGAAGAATTGGTCCGCAATAGTGATTTGATATAAAAATCAACTATACCAAGTTTGGATCAAGTAGATCTATTTTTTGTATTTGACGCCATGAAAAGCATGTCTTTCTATGAAAAGACGGCCTACTATTCTACACCTACTTGATGATGATATTTTCGTATACATCGAAATTAACTAAAGCAAATTTGGACTATGTTGAGTTTATTTTCCGGGCATTTATGTCTAAGAACGGTTTGTATAAAGTTATTAACGAAATGTAAGCCTTTGTATGGCAACAAATTCTAATTTTTAATCTGTTATGACGAAAATAGTTTGCTAATAATGATAATAAGTTGAAGAAAATTAGTATTGAGACGACGTCATACTAGTAGATAACGTAATAATGTATGGTATCTAATGATCGGTGTTGTCCCATTACAATATTCTTAGTTGTTTTAAAGTTCAATTTTGTTTTACCAAGGAATGAAATGTACGCTCTCTATATGATTAATTGATTAATGTAGCGCTATTATATAACTATCTATGTGCGTAATATGTTAGAAGAATAGTTATGAATATCTACTTTATGAAAAATGACTATCACAGAAGGAAGGATGTTGTGTACAAATATATTAAGCGATGATTAAATACACGCAAAGTAGTAAAAATTCTCGGCGTACACGTTGCATACAAATATTTTACAAACCGTAACTTGTCCTTCGATTTCGGGTGCAGCTGCAGTGTCTTCATTTTTTTTCTCTACAATTACAATAAAAATTAATCAATTATTATATCGTTTGCGTACTAAATAACATTTGAAAAAGTATTTATATTGTTCGGTGATATATTAATCAATAAATTTCGCTGTAAAAAGCATAGAACAGCGCAATAATTATCTTATTACAAATAAATCCATCGCATCAAGTCAATATACCGTCAATTGAATTTTGACGGTTGCAAAGTGAGGACAACACAATTTATTGCGGTTTTAGTTATTAAGCTAACATTGCTCTAAAAATGCTTAATCACTTCTTTTCGTTGATTACATGACTTTATTGAATTCGAATGATATTCGATAAAAACAGTTGAAAGCTTAAATATTTGCAAGTAAAATATGATTGTAAGCAAACATTATAATCCGACAGCGATAAGAAAATATTTATAGCGAAAAAGCAAAATACACGTACAACATATACTATAAGCTTTAAAAAGAATCTTCGATATTTATCAGGCCGTACAAGTGAAAGTCGCATGACGAATGCTTGTGCAGCGATCGAAAAAATTTTATTTTCTTGAATTTTTTTGATAAAAAAAACAAAAAAAAAACTATTTAGGATAACATTAACGAATTATGTGCCTTCAACAAGTCATTATCTAAGATCTTATTTTTATACCTACCACTGTAGGATGGGTGTATACTCATTTTGTGTTTTTTCGATAATGTATGTAACACCTGAAATGAAAGTATATACATTCTTGATCAGCCTGAAATTCTGTGTTGATTTAGCCATGTCTGTCCATCTGTGCGTCTGTGCGTTATTATTATTCTTCTGGTTGGAAAGAGGAAGATATCGATTTCAAATTTGGTAAAAACATTGGAAGTTTCTGGACGCAAGTTGGTACTAATTGAATTATTTCGCTGGATGTACGAATCCCTGCGCATAATGGAGAACCCTATCTATTCGTTTACGGGCGATAGCCTCGTTGAAGACCATGCAGCAACGAGATACAGAGCAAACGCTGCATGATGAACGACGTGTTAATTCGGGATCTCACGAAAATAACTAAATGGGATGGAGCTTTAATACCACGAAAACCCAAAACTATCTAAAGCACAGACGGAGTGGTGTACAACATTTCTCTATCGGTGGTCTCAATGTAGAAGAATAATGTACTGGGCGTAAGAATATAAAACGATGTTCGCTGGACGGAATATGTGTTCGAAGTGTAAGTAGACGCAGCCAAAGCGGTGCAATAAATATTTTACTGCAGCCGTTACCCGTACTATTTACGTCGCTTATATCCGGCTAAAATTAGAATATGAAACTCGTGTGTCGGCGCCTGCAGCAAAATGCTCAGATGCTCATGATAAGCGAAAGTGTATACAAAACACTCGATACCCTCGAGCTTTGGCGCAATGTGGGCTGCGTTGCGCTTATGTAGAGATACATTCAGAGCAAGTGTTCTACAGATATCAAAGAGATGACCACGAATTAAATGCTTCAAGAGGACTACACGTCTTTTTTAGCGTTCGCATCCACTACCCTGACTCCTTAAACCATGCTGCCCGCCTTTGGAATAACCTATCAGCAATGATATTTTCTGCCATACTTAATGTCTCCCTTTTCAAGGCGAACGTTCACAAACATTACTCCCTTTCTGCATTCCACTATGCCTATAAGCCGCTTTGATCACCATTGTGCCCGCGCGTATAGGACACATCTTTAGAGTGGCTGATGATATAAAAAAAAGAAGAAAAAAGTTGTCACTCACATCAATATCACCAGTAACAGTCGTTGCTTGACCAGCCTAATTTTCGAAGAAGTAAGTACGGTCCAATGACGGCTTCAGCCCAAAATCCGCACCAAACAGTGCCACATTGTGGATGCATTTGTTTTTCGACAATCTACTACGACTAACAAAGTCATCAAGGTGACCATAGTTTACACGAAATTTGCGAGATGTGGTCGCCAAACTTTCATTATTTTTGTAAAGTTGTTCAACAATGAAAACGCGTTGCTCTCTAGCGTAATACTTCATTTTTACTGACCCTAAACTGACAGCTATCAACTTGTATAAATGCCAACAAATTTAAATCTTGCGTAACTTTCGAGACACCCTATATTAGCATATTATTAAACATATTTTTGTTTAGAAGAACTTATTTTTATTAATACGTAATTAATTTTATTTATATAATATTAATGTCAACGAAATTATGCATAAACATAATGTGCAGCATAAACACAAGCTTAAAGTCTCAACGCTGATGTGCAATTGAAAAAAGAATTACTCAGCATTTTCTTAAGTATGGGCTTAACATATCGATCAATGAATCTTCTTCAATGAATCAAGTGTACATGTATGTAATAAATGTTAGGTTTTTAATTCAATTTTATCTATAGTCAGAACTTTAACTAGAAAAACAGACAGGAAGTCCTTTGGTATTCTGCTATACACAGCGGTACGCATCATGAGTAATTCATAATATCTTATCAGTGCAGCTGTATTTTCGCAAGTTTTGAGTCTATTGCAGTTGAAATGCCATTCTTTGCATGCAATAGCCCTCACAAACTTATTGCCGTAAGTGATGGATTCTTATATTTACTCAAAACTCGCCAATACTTGATAATTCCATATAAAAAAAATAAATATATTTTACAAGATAATATTCCTAACAGAGTATTTTCTCACGTCTGGCCATCATAACTCTCGAACATGATCTGCCCAAAATTTATGTATATCACTACAGCGATAAACAAAACTTTCCAACGGAACAGTTGATACGCATATATTGATCTTACCATAAAGGTAATTGAAAAGATGACTATATCATGATTCCTTACAAGTCATCCATTGTTCTGCGAAATTTATTTAATTAATAAAATATAATTAAAAATTTTTACATTTAACCTTTGTTTTTTCATAATACAATGAATAATTAAATAAATGAATGACAAGCGAGAAAATTATATTCGAGAGTGATCGAATCTTTCATATCCGTTACCGTCATCTTAAAAAAAAAAGGAAAGGAACTAATATTTCATATTAGAAATATTGGATGGATGCGGCTGATTTTTTTTATTTCCCGAATAAAAGTGGAATTTTATATGTATGTATGTATGTGCTGTACTTTTACATTTTTATTCAATATAATATATCCATTTTTGCCCAAGGAAGGGTTACAACAGATATTATACGAACGGATAGACGGACAGACGGACAGACGGACAGTTCAGAATTCGGTGCTGATCAAGAATATGTACATACTTTGTGGGATTTCTGAAGCTTCCTTCTGGGCCTTGCAAACGTTTTGATAAAATGAATACACCGCTAAAAGGCTACAATCACTTCGGAGCCCACTTTGGACACACCCCGCAGAAAATGAATATATCTAACTTTTTCTCATTGTTTTCTGTAAAATATATTTCGCAGAATATTTAGTTTCAAATTCATAACATACAACGAAGGGTTTGTAGATATATTCCCTGTGTTTGTTCTGATTGGATGCTCAAAAAGGCAGCAGAGTAAGATCATCAAATAAAATTTCTCTGAGTGATGAGAATAATTTCCAGTTGCTAGTGCAACTACTAAGCAAAGGACACCTGTCGCATCTAGGATTCTAAAAACCCAATAAATGATAATTTTCTGCGTAACGGATTACCGAAAATTACTCATTGCATTATTTAATCTGGAATTAATTCAACGGATGTGGAAAGCATTTACTTTTTTTTCAGCAGAACGGCGTCACTTGTGATTGACTTAAAATAACACTTCGGTATAGTTGAAAGGCTAGGTTCTATCATATCCATTTGCTTCGACTTTTGAAAGTCCGAGATTTTGTGCAAGAGAGCAATGGGGATAGATAACCCTATATAACTTCAGAGTAAATGATGTTGCATATATTATGTTGTGCGTTGTGCACATTTTCTTAACAATTTTTACGAGACGATACTCTATTCATAGCTTTTTGGTCGCCGATGCTTACATACCGACACACCGATGATAAGCAGTGATTTGTTATTAGGTATCGAGGTACTATTAGTCATTTTGTTCTGTAAGCGATTTTATGTGAGAGCAAGAAAAGCGCAAATATTCTACGCGACAGTCGAAACCATAGCGGAGCTAGATTATAAAATGAACATAACGTTATGCATAATAGTGGAATGATAAGATAAAGAAAGAAGAAGAAAGATGTTAATAGTTTTCTTTGAATGGATTATTGTGAAGAAAATCTGAGACAAATTGCTATTAAATAAATAACTTATCCTGATGATTGTCTCTCATATTGAAAATAAATATTCTTTTTTACTAATTTCTTCTACGATGGTCGCCATTTCGCCATTTTCCAAGATGAGGTCAGAAAAATCTCTTGATTCGCGACAGAAAGAGCAGATAAATGCACTTTATGATATAAGGTGATGTATATATATATATATATATATATAAAACATATATATGAAGATGATATACATTTAAAAACAGATCGAATACATTATTTTTTCTCTTCAAATCCATTTTAAAATTAATATTTGTGGATAAAAATAGGTTTTATAAGATATCGTTTCTTATTCGATAATCTAAGATGCGTTTAGCATGAGTTTGATGCGTTTAGCATGAAAGTGATAACGAAATAAACGCGTCATCAAAGAATGGCGGCAAGACGACTCTTATTTCCATATACACGTGATGAGAGTAAGCTTCGCGATGACGGCAAGCCGTTACGAAAACGCAAGGAAGTAAGCAAATCAGACGCCTCATTAGATCATTTCTATATTTCATTATTAGATAGACTTGATAAGCGCTGATGCTTAACTTGACATCAATATATGATACAAATTTCCAGTTATTCGCAGCATATTATATAAAATGCCTTTATTAGGTGTATATGAAATATTTTAATGAGTTGCCAATATCGAACAAGAGCTTCTTCTATACACATACATATACATATATACATATATATTTGTATTTGTTTTGCCCGGGCCAACGTACAGAATAACGGACGAACGGATGAATGGACGGACGGACAAACAAGTGAACAGAATGATGAGGCTAAATCAACTCGAGAAACTCAATGTGCGTCAAATTATACTAATCTTGAACGAAAACGAAAGTAAATATTAGCAAAGAATCCAAAAGAAAAAAGAAAAAAAGAAGTAAATAAACTTTATATCAATTTTGTACGATACAACACCTTATCTTTGGTATTTGCATTGTTTTCTACATACTCCATTAAGTCTGGTATTTGTGGTTCAATTTGTTACACAAATTAATTAAAACGAATCTATCAAAATGTATGAACATTGATATGTCTTCGTTAGCCATTATACTGATAATATTAACTAAGTCTGCAACATGACAGTTTTACGAATGAACTTAATAAAACAAGTTCATTTTATTTTATTTTATCATTACCGAGTACATGCAGTAGTACCTTTTATATGTATTCTTATCGTAAATTCGAGCTAATCGTGAGAATTCATAAAGATTGCCGTGACGTATGCCCATAGAGTTTTGAAGCACGCTTTCGTATAAAGCTGGTATTTACCAGCATGTAGATAAAAATAATTTGTTCTCGTTATTTACCTCGACAATTAGTCAGAAAATCAGACAGTCAGGCAATCAGTCGCCCGCCTTATTTGTAGTCGGTTAATCCGATTATTGTTATATAAATTGCACAATAAATAAATTTTTTCTTTCAACTTATCTATCAATTGTTAAGTAAAAATTTTTATATATTTTAGTTGATATTGAGGTTAAAATTTATTGCCTCGCCGTACGAACTGATGATAAATTGAATTTATAGATATTTTATTTTAACGCAAATACTTTTATAACATATAATAATTTATTGCATTACACATTATTCAATATTTCGCTATAGATAATCTTAAAAACGAAACTACAACAACATCATGTGCGTAATTTATTTGTTCATAGAAAGAATACTACACAAGATGTGGTAATGCTTCTCCTAGCTATAAATATCCTTGTCGCGTACTATCGACTGTTATCCTCTAATTAATCGTCCTATGTTGAAAATGTTAGGCCAAATGTATATCCTTTAGACAATTTATAATATGTCTTCTATCAGCAATTATCTTTCCCAATATCTGTCTAGATTTTGATGTTGCGTCAACGTCTTTATTTGCTTGTCCGTTCGTTCACTTCCACAAAAAAATGAATTATTTTTGTTTGTTGAAACCTTTAAGCATCTATGTCTGCAATTCATGCAAAATAAAGAAGGAAAAAAAAAATAAAGCGACATTTGTTGAAATCTAAAGATCAACCCGGCACACAATCACACTAGTTTTTTAAATCTCATCAATCTCTAAAAGAACTTAAGTAATAACTTAATAAAAAAATGCGCGAACATTTTTTTTTTTTTTAAGTGATGTTTTATCAACACCGGTAACCAAACGTAAATAAATAATGATACTGATGATGATGGTGATCCCATTCTATAATTGCACTATTCTTTGACCTATTAATTGCGCTAAAAAAAAAATGTATTGCATTCGAGGAGATGGTTTATTTGAAACATTCCCAAGTCCAAGACCAAAGATTAAAAGCTGATCGCTTCGAGAACAAAGAGAATTAATGTTTTACAATTTTTTTTCTCTACTGTCATAAGTACCGGAATTGTATGATTTCAACGGTTTTTTTTTTTTTTTAATATTATATATCCAGTTTTACGTTGCTTAAAGAATTCCATACGAGTTTAAAAGTTTTTTTATCTTTCTTAGTACTCGACACGCCATCCATTCGCTGACATCCTTATTTAATGTCATCACTCTTGTTTTCAGAATTCTGACCTAATTTTTTTCTTAATATACGCTCTGTTAGTCGAGCATTAACATCACTTGGAAATCTAGAACGACATCTAATCTTTTAATCTAATTGTTTTA